TTCGGTGACTTTCTTACTGTAATCTGATTAAGAGAGAAGTAAGAGTAGAAGTCATGTGGCTTTGGAAGGCTGTATGTAGTTTACTATATGCTACTTTAAATTGAAGTGACATTAAGTTATAACATTATATAAATTTCAGATGCACATCATTGTAAACTAACATCTGTATATACTGTAGTAAGTTCACCACTAAAATCACAGTCTTAGTTTGACACAATTGCAAACTATTAGGGGTAGTTGTTTAGTCAGTAACTGTAAATGTGAATATGGAAACCATAAGGGAAATAAATGCATAATTTCCACAATTGTAATTTCCTTGAGGGAAATCTCTCATACATTTCTCTTTGTTCAATGTCAAGCAAAATGTCAGGTACTTAATAAGCACACAGAAAGGATTTGGCAAATTGAAAACTAGCAAATTCCATATCCCTTGAAAACACTGCTCCAAGTTTTCCATTGAATTCCTGTGAGTTAATGTAATTGGCATCATTACTCAAACAGAAGCTAAATGTTTTCTGGAGGCTTGGATTAGAGATTCGCAAGTATAGTCAATCGTGGCAGTACCTGTTCTCTTAGGCCTTAATAGTTTCTCAGATACTATTGTCCTGTAATTCTCATATTGCTAAAACAAAATAATTTGTCAAGAGAACTGGCATACCAGCACTATTTAAGTTGATCGGTTGCAATTCTATGGCTCATAAAAAGTGTAAAAGTTTTAACTCTTTTTAAAAAGATGATTTTTTTAAACTACATTCATAAGTAGCTTTAAAATATGCCTTAATATAAGCCTGATGTTTTCTAAGTACTGAATTTATTTCAAATGTTTATAGAACTTTTCTTCTTCTAAACAGAAACACAAGATAAAATTGTATCAAATACACATGATTACAAATGCATGCATTTAAATACAGTGAAGGTATAGTTACCCTTCCTACAGTTTGAGATTCACTGTTAGGAAAAAAAAAAAAAAAACTGTTATAACAAATATTTAACTAGCACCTTTTATGCATCTACATGGGCTGGGCCACAGTGTAACTACGTTACAGTCATCCTTCCTATATAGGAAAGGAGAAAATAAACACATATTCAAAGCAGCATTCAAGGAGGGGCTTGCTACCAGTGTCATGCCTTTCTGGAGGAAATATCTGCTCAGTATCTGAAGCATCAGGGATGCACAATGTGAGTTACTGAAATTTCAGTGTAAATTAGACTGTTAATTAGAAAATGAAGAATGATAACAGCAGAAGAACAGTATCTACAAAAGCCTGAAAGTGAGAAAGCTCTTGGAGGGGACTGCATATGATTTAGTCTGACAGGAACAAGAAGTATGAAGGGTTACTGATGAGATCTTAAGATTAATATGCCCTTTATAGAGGAAAGGAAGGAAAAGAGCCTGTTAGTGTAAGTAGGTCGATGAATAACAACATGACAATTAAAGGGATTTAGATAAAACACAGATAGGTTTGAGCAACTGAAACGTGGTAAACTATTAATTTATTTTCCATTTAATCTGTGCATTGGAGACCTTCAAACAAAAATAAAGTTTCATTAAAGTCAGAAAAAAATAATTTGAAAGACTAACTATAGAGGAGAACTATAAGATCATAGTATATCAATGGACCACAATAAAATACCTTCTTACCCATCTATTATTTGAGTAGGTGGCACAGTATCAATATGGTTGTTAACTATAGCAACTAAAAATATTTCCAAAACACTTCATTTCAAATAATTTAGATAGCTTTTCTCAGCTTCATTATAGAAATTTCATGTGGGACCTAATATGTTAATATGTAGAATCCAAAATGTGCTTTTATATTTCTGTATCTAATGCTTTTTGCTTTTTAACTATTGATTTTTTTTTAAAGATTTATTTATTTATTTGTTTGTTTGCTTATTTGTACAAGCACTGGGTACAGTCAGAAGCACGGGAGGGTGAGATAATTCACCAGAGCCAGAGCGGGGAGCAGAACAGGCAGAAGGACCGAAGTACACTGCTGAGGGGAGCAGCGGGCGGCAGGAGAGGTCTGCACGCCATGTGGGACCCCCGCCTGGCAGCTGGGGATCTAAGTGGAGTTGCAGAGGCTGCGGGCAGCTTCACAGCCCAGCGCTCAACCCCTGCGCCACCAGGGAGGCCCTTTGCAAATATTGTGATCACTTATCATCTAAACTGAAACATTTTTGAGAATGAAGGTGTTATGAATAGTTTTACAAGAACAGCAGGGATAAACATGATCTTCTCTGGACAAACCAAATGCATGTTTCTTTTTCTTTTCTTTTTTTTTTTTTTTTAAGATTTATTTATTTATGCATGCAAGAGCCTGGGTACAGGCCAGAGATGCGGGGGTGAGAGGATTCACAAGAGACAGAGTGGGGAGCAGAATAGGCAGATTGACTGGAATACACTGCTGAGGGGATCAGTGAGCAAGTCAGGAGAGGTCTGCTGCGCCATGTGGGTTGCTCCCTGGCCGGCTGGGGGATCGAACTCGTGCTGTAGAGGCTTACAGATTGCTTCATAGTGCTGTGCTTAACCCCTTGCGCCACCAGGGAGGCCCGCAAATGCATGTTTCTTATTCAAAATGCTTATTTCATTTTAAACTGTGGTTAAAATGTTACAATTATTTAAAATTCAGAATAGTGTTTTTAAATGGAAGTTTCTTTTATCTTTTAAAGATTTATTTTTATTTATTCATGCATGTAAGAACTGAGGTGTAGGCCAGAGATGCAGGGTTGGGGTGGGGTGAGAGGATTCACCAGAGACAGAGTGGGAAGCAGAGCAGGCAGATCTATTGAAATACACTGCTGAAGGGAGTAGTGGGCAAGGCAGGAGAGGTCTGCTGTGCCATGTGGGTTAGCTCCCTGGCCAGGGATAGAACTCATGCCTCTTAGGCTGGTGACAGCTTGATAGGGCTGAGACTTTAACCCCTGCATCACCAGGGGAGGCCCCCCTTTCTCCTGTGAATGCAGTGTTTTAATAACTTAATATTCTAAACTTGGTGACCTAGACCATTTTGTCTTCCTAGTTTCACCTTTACATTTTTGTCAGCATAGTTTACAAATCACTGACAGAAATAGATAAAATTAGGAAAGTTAAAGATGATAAATTGCTAATCCATGACACTTAAAAACTTTGTGCATAAATATTTTTCAAAGCAGAATTCCTCTTCAAAGACTAGAAGAAGATACTTCATATTATTTTTATTTTTCCTTAGTTTCTGAACAGAAATTGGGATCAAATCCAATAAAAACTTTTATGGCCAATGAGAAATGAAGCATTATCAAAGTAAGAAAAAAGGAAGAATTTGAATGACTTACTACAGTGAGAACTACAAAACTATAGTATATCAATAGGCCCCTATACAAAGCCACAATGCTCAGCTATTATTCAAGTAGGTGGCACATTATTATTCTCACAGATTGATACCTTGCTTATTATTCCCTTGACTGCACACAAGACATAGTCATTTGAATCTAATAATGTCTGTAAAATTTTCCATTAATATTATAAATTGCTATTAAAACATAAAAAATTCTGTGGCCTGTTCTAATTGATTTTTGTTTCTCTAATTTATGGACTGAGTTACACTGTACTCAGTACACCAGGACAACTGAGGATGATAATAAGGGAAAAATAATTGATTTCCATTTTCAAGTGAGGCAGCTGGAAACAGTGCTTTGTCAAGTTTCCTAACTCCCAAAGAGCATAGCACCACAGGGTTCCAGGTATGTCAACAGAAAACAATGGATGTATATTTTTGAGTTTTATATAAATCCATGATAATTCAAACAAAATAGTCAATGTAAGAAGATGAATCTCATGCATGACCATTTCATATGGATGGTAAAAAGAAACTATCTTAAATGACACTCAAAGCTCTATGCATGAGATCTAAGGAAATTGTAATGTACACAATGTTCTCTCATGAAGTGGTTCTATATCTCATCTCTCTGTTTACTGCTTATAGCCTGCTACATCATGCCTGCAAGATTGGGCTTCTGCTTTTCCATGTTCAAACACAGGAAGTGATGGTGTGCCCTGTTAATTTAGCCTTTGAACCACCACAGATTCTTGTCCCATGAAGGTGTAAAAGGAATTTGCAGACATTTTAGATAAGTAAACAGAGGGAAACAAATTTTAAGAAAATAAAGTTTACTTGAAGGAGAAAAGTAAGGACTCTCAGGTTAATTCTACCTGGGAGAGTCAAGGAAGCCATGTGGATGTGGGCCCATGTCTAGGGGTATTTAAACCTTTTTTTTTTTTTTTCCTGCATTCTAAAATCTCATGATCCTACTTTATGATGGGCTCTTTCTCCCAGTGGCTATGTCTCCAGGCAGACATGTCCATTTCCCCTGTTCTTATCTTAGAGTTTAACTCCCCTTGCAAAGGTTTTATTCTCTCAACTTTTACTGTCTTTAGTCCTCCTGGACTTTCTGAATTCATCTCTGGAGGTTTTTTTTTTTTGTTTGTTTGTTTTTTTAAGCACCTCTTAGAATTTACTCTTTGTCTCAGAATCCTCTTTAACTCTCCTGAATCTTTTTTCTATTTATAAAAATATTGTAATATATATTAAAAATTATAGGCAAGACCCTTTTTATGATAAAAGAATAACATTAAAAATAGCATTTAAAATAAAGATACAAATCCATGCACATTATAAAATAATCATTTAAGCTATTATGGTGCACAAAAGTTAATTCCTTAAGTTAAAAAGTGTTGAAAAATAAGATAAAGTATAATATGTTTAGTTACACAATTTACAAGAATATTTACTATATATAAAAATAATCAGTAGTTATTCTCACAGAATATAAAAAGTTATTTTAAAGAAAATCAACACAACATATTAAAACTGCTGTGCTTCACTTTTATAATAAAAGTTTGAGTAATTTGCTCTAATAATTTATATTTTTTATAAAATAAAATAGCTATAATAGAATGTGTAGGTTATTTTGATTAGCAGTTGAAATATACAAGGAAATAAGACATCAGTTTAATTTACCTTAATAACTAAATCAAATTTCTGGTGAAAGTCTCTGTTTACTGCCTCCAGGAGACTAAGTTCTGCAGTCCTAGGATGCATGTGGAA